TTAAGAGTGTAACAGATTACAGTTACATTTATTTTGTAATTAGATTACATAATTCCATTACATGTAACTAGTTACTCCCCAACATTACTGATAAACTAATTCAGAGATCTGATAATTTGCCGTCTTTACACACACTTACATATTAAATACATAATGATATGTGTTTGATAGTGTTTCAAACTTTAAGTGAATGCTTGACCTTGATTTAGGGGTCACGGCACTTATATGTCTGTTTTAACAAGTAATGGGAGAAACAAACTACAGACGCAGAGAATAAGGTGCTTTCAGTTGTATTTTTAAACTGTTTTATATAGCTGCAGAGATTATTTTAGAGGGTGAATTCAGATTAGGTCATCTGAGTCATATTTTATCACAGAATGCAGCGATTGCCAGGAGCTGTAGGAGATCAAGCAGTACAATAAGAGAAGCAGCAGCAGGTCTTCAGCCACCTTATTCAGTGTTAATACAGTTCTCTGTCACCTGTTACCCGCTTGACTCATTCAACTCATAATCTCTCTCCTTACATCTTACACTTAAATGGCTCATTCCTTTTTTAAGCCTTTATCATTTAAGCAGCAGTCTTTGTGTTTTATTTCCACACAGGCAGATTGTTCCGCTGATATGTGTTTGATAGTGTTTCAAACTTTAAGTGAATGCTTGACCGTGATTTAGGGGTCACGGCACTTATATGTCTGTTTTAACAAGTAATGGGAGAAACAAACTACACACGCAGAGAATAAGGTGCTTTCAGTTGTATTTTTAAACTGTTTTATATAGCTGCAGAGATTATTTTAGAGCGTGAATTCAGATTAGGTCATCTGAGTCATATTTTATCACAGAATGCAGCGATTGCCAGGAGCTGTAGGAGATCAAGCAGTACAATAAGAGAAGCAGCAGCAGGTCTTCAGCCACCTTATTCAGTGTTAATACAGTTCTCTGTCACCTGTTACCCGCTTGACTCATTCAACTCATAATCTCTCTCCTTACATTTTACACTTAAATGGCTCATTCCTTTTTTAAGCCTTTATCATTTAAGCAGCAGTCTTTGTGTTTTATTTCCACACAGCATATGGAGAGGGCAAATGATGCACTGTTTGAGGGATAAAGCACTTCTATAAGATATCACAGCTTCTCAGCTCAAAAAATCTCATGATAACAGGGACGTGCCTCTCCGAGCGTGACTGAGAGATTGTGTTCTCTGGATTTTAAACGTTGTACCTAAAATGACCAAAATCATCCAAAAGTAATATACAGATTTACATACAGGTACTTTATAGCCAGGATGCTATAGTAAAAGTATAAATAAAGCTGTATAAACCCATGAAAACAAGGCAAGACGTGCAGGGCATTTGTAAAACAGTTTGTGTGTGTGTGTGTGTGTGTGTGTAGAGTAAATTCAGGTAAATTAGGGCTTCAGGAATGGACCTCTCTTACATCTTACACTTAAATGGCTCATTCCTTTTTTAAGCCTTTATCATTTAAGCAGCAGTCTTTGTGTTTTATTTCCACACAGGCAGATTGTTCCGCATATGGAGAGGGCAAATGATGCACTGTTTGAGGGATAAAGCACTTCTATAAGATATCACAGCTTCTCAGCTCAAAAAATCTCATGATAACAGGGACGTGCCTCTCCGAGCGTGACTGAGAGATTGTGTTCTCTGGATTTTAAACGTTGTACCTAAAATGACCAAAATCATCCAAAAGTAATATACAGATTTACATACAGGTACTTTATAGCCAGGATGCTATAGTAAAAGTATAAATAGAGCTGTATAAACCCATGAAGACAAGGCAAGACGTGCAGGGCATTTGTAAAACAGTTTGTGTGTGTGTGTGTGTGTGTGTGTAGAGTAAATTCAGGTAAATTAGGGCTTCAGGAATGGACCTCTTCTGGTTTTTTAATTAAAAAATCTAGGTGGTGTAACTGTCTCACCCTTAATGAAAGAAAGTTTTTAAAAAAAGTAACATTTTAGTAAAATACCACATATTGTGTATTGAGCACTGTGTAACATTTGTAGCCTATATCTAAATATAATTATCGAAGATAACTTTTTCATGTTTAATTGTGTCCAAATTAGGCCTAATTACGTTTTAAATTTATCTGCATGGGTACTGACTGCTAATTTGTCAAAGATGTTAAGATGTTTGAGGAAGAATTTCAAAGTTTTATGTCTAACACGTATGTTAATGACCTGAGTCATCAAGCTGGCTTCACAGGTGTCTTGAGCAGTAAGTCAGTCAGAAGTGTTGTTGCCATAGTTTTATCCTAGTGGGAGGAAATCTTCCAGATTTTGAAAATAAAATTGGTAGCTGGTAGTACATTGTCACATTTAGGCTTAACAAGTTTTTTGTTCATGTGGGGCTTAAACTGTGTGTAATTCCATACAGGGCCGGTTCTAGACATTAGGAGGCCCTAGGCAAAATTCATGTTGGAGGCGCCCCACCCCCAATAAAAAGCGCTTGAAACAAATATGATCCCTAACCTTTTTGTTTATACAACATTTATTTTTACATTTTGCATATTTTTACTTATCCAGTACAAAAGTTTGACTATTTTTAATTTTTTTAAAATAAAGTCTCTTACGCTCATCAAGCCTGGATTTATTTGATCAAAAATACAGAAAAAAACAATAATATTGTGAAATATTATTACAATTTAAAATAATGGTTTTCTATTTTACTATACTTTGAAATATATTTCTATGATCAAAGCAGAATTTTCAGCATCATTACTCCAGTCTTCAGTGTCACATGATCCTTCAGAAATCATTCTAATATGCTGAATTATTATCAATGTTAGAAACAGTGCTTAATGTTTATTTTATAACCAGTGATACTTTTTTCAGGATTTGTTGATTATTAAGCAGTTGTTTAAAAATTATATATATATATTATAACAATATGTCTTTACTATCAGTTTTTATCTATTTAACACATCCTTGCTGAATATTACCGTTTTTTTTCTGTATTTTTGATCAAATAAATGCAGGCTTGATGAGCAGAAGAAATTTCTCTCAAAAACATAAAAAATAGTAATGGTTCCAAACTTTTGACTGGTACTGTATATTAATCAAACTTTATCTAAGGTAATCTCTTTTTTGTTTGATGAAGATGTTATTGTTGTTGTTATTTGCTGTTTTATTCAATTTATTCACAGTTCCAGAATATCACTTCAGTAGATGAACATAAGTGCTTTTATCATTTTTTCCCTAGCTGGGTATGGGCAGGATTTCCCCCTCCAATTTAATCAATATTGACTACAGATATTGTCATATTATTAATATCAATAATATGATATTATGCATTGCATTGTTACCTTAAATACTACACACACACACACAAATCAAGTGGAAGAGAAAGACTACTAAGCAGAAAAAAGTTATTTTGTAGTTCTAGTTTCTAGTTCAGTTGAAACTGAAATTATAAGCAGTAATGTAGTATCATCAGCAGAATTTAGAAGATACATATGAGATCCTTTATTTGAAACATTAAAAAATGTTCTAGTGTGTTTGCTTTTTAACTTTGAATACAAACTTATCTGCCTTTACTTTTGTAGCTATTTTGATAGTCAGCTCCCGACGCGATGCCATTCACTGTACGCGCAAATTCAAAGCGTCGCGTCTTGGCGCGTCAACGGCGCTCGCGCTTTTTTAAACTCGTAGTAAAGCGGTGAATGATCTTTCCAGAAATGACGCTGATCGACAGAACAAGTTTATATTTAGAATACATGCATTCACTCTAAAATAGACGACGACAACTCACACACCTGCATTAGGAGCTGTACTTCTTTGCATGTCTATTTAGCCGCTTGCATCGCACAGTTCGCAGCACCTGAAGGATGCGTTCGTTACGCAAACATTGAGAAGGGGGGACCCGCTTTGAAACAGCAACAATAAATGGTTTAATTGCAGATGAGTGACAATTCAACTATATCCAATGAACAATGAAGCTAGAATTTGCTGCCCGTCTTGGTGGACTAGCATATAGGGGATGTTACGGTTATGGAGGCCCCTCCTCAAAGCCTGAGGCCCTAGGCAATCGCCTGCTCTGCCTATAGCTAGCGCCGGCCCTGATTCCATATTACTTAACTAAAAATGTCTGTGGTCCATGTGAGAATAAATAAAGTCTTGGTCCTGTGAGAATAAAGTAAAAATGACCATCAGTTTTTAATTGATGCACCTACACGAATCGTCCCTGTAATTTATCTGTGCTCAGTTAAATATTGCACTGTCTCTTAAAATAAAAAATCAGAAAATCACATAGCCTATTCAAACACACACAAGAACTGTGGTGATGCAACTTAGACCGAGGCGAAATGTTGTCAACTCATGTGTGAATGTATGCTAATTTAGCACAGATGCCACACACAATTAATTTCAGTGAAATGGTTCGCTGTAATGATTTAGTTCATTTGTGTGACGCGGGGATTCGCATCTTCTTATTATATATACATTTAGTTTTACAGCGTTGTTTATCACTATATGACTTGGTTTCCACTCCACCCACCACAGAAAGTCCTTGCAGTCGAGTGATAAACCAACGCTTTGCGTATCGGTTCATTCAAAAGAATCTGTTCAACAGAACCGAGTCGCCTGGGAATCACTCCAGTACTTACACTCAGCGCGCACACATGTATTTACCAGAGTGATGGGAGGATGTTTGGATTGTAGTGCACTTTTTTATCCGCAGCAGAAGAAAATAATCTAGCGGCAAAGAAAACGAGTGTGGATGTACGAGGGGCTTTTCGTTTTGAATTCTACAGGTCTTGTCTTAATGAATATTTAATGGCTTGGAAATGGAGATAGCTTTGGTGAGCTTTGACAAGCGGGCGAATCGGTTCATTCAAAATAATCTGTTCAACAGAACCGAGTCGCCTGGGAATCACTCCAGTATTTACGCTCAGCGCGCACACATGTATTTACCAGAGTGATGGGAGGATGTTTGGATTGTAGTGCACTTTATCCGCAGCAGAAGAAAATAATCTAGCGGCAAAGAAAACGAGTGTGGATGTACGAGGGGCTTTTCGTTTTGAATTCTACAGGTCTTTTCTTACTGAATATTTAATGGCTTGGAAATGGAGATAGCTTTGGTGAGCTTTGACAAGCGGGGTGAAGGAGGCAGTGATGGAGAACCCTACCAAAACCAAAACTCCCTGGATTATCCACGCTTGGTCCACAACAAAGAACTATATTCGAGAAGTCCACAACAGAGCTCATGGAAAATGAACGACATGAACAACACAATGATGGGCTCCACTGAGAATACGGTGGATTATTACAGTCCCCATTTGTTTGATGAGGGCATTCTGGACATGGATATGGACCATGAGAACAACGAACGAGTTCTTATCAATATTGCCGGACTGAGGTTCGAGACACAGTTGGGCACTCTGAACCAGTTTCCCGACACTTTGCTGGGAGACCCGGACAAGAGAATAAAGTATTTTGACCCCCTCAGGAACGAGTATTTCTTTGATCGCAACAGACCGAGTTTTGACGGAATTCTTTATTTCTATCAGTCCGGCGGGAAAATCCGACGACCTGTTAACGTGTCAATCGACGTTTTTGCAGACGAAATCCGCTTTTATCAGCTGGGAGAAGAAGCAATGGACCGTTTCCGCGAGGATGAGGGCTTTATTAAAGAAGAAGAGAAACCGTTACCACAGAATGAGTTTCAGAAACAGGTATGGCTCATATTTGAGTACCCTGAAAGCTCTAGTCCTGCACGAGGCATAGCTATTGTCTCCGTCATCGTCATAACCATCTCCATCATAACTTTCTGTCTGGAAACTTTACCCGAGTTTCGCGACGAGCGAGAGCTTCCAGTGACTAGTCGCGCTATCAATGGTACTCAAGAGCGTCCATCGCTCACTTTTAGCGACCCGTTTTTCATCATTGAAACCACCTGCGTGATTTGGTTCACCTTTGAGCTCTTTGTGCGCTTCTTCGCCTGTCCTAGTAAGTCTGAATTCTCCAAAACCATCATGAACATCATTGACATCACGTCTATCATGCCTTACTTCATCACCTTGGGCACAGAGCTGGTGGAGCAGCAGGGCCAGGAGCACAATAATGGCCAGCAGGCCATGTCACTGGCCATACTGAGGGTCATTCGTTTGGTTCGGGTGTTTCGCATATTTAAGCTGTCTAGACACTCCAAGGGGCTTCAGATCCTGGGCCAGACTCTAAAAGCCAGCATGCGAGAGCTGGGCCTCTTGATCTTCTTTCTTTTCATTGGTGTCATATTATTCTCCAGTGCTGTTTTCTTCGCTGAGGCAGATGAACCCGAGTCTCACTTCTCCAGCATCCCAGATGCCTTCTGGTGGGCTGTAGTGACCATGACAACAGTTGGATATGGTGACATGAGACCGGTGACTGTGGGGGGAAAAATTGTGGGCTCGCTGTGTGCCATCGCAGGGGTGTTGACCATTGCATTACCGGTGCCTGTCATTGTGTCTAACTTCAACTATTTCTACCACAGAGAAACTGACCAAGACCAGGCGTCTCTCAGAGAAGAGCCTAATAATGGTGGCCCTTCAAACCCATGTGATGAACGTCATGGGTTGAGGAAATCATCAACCTCTAATTCAAAAGATGGAGAGCATAATGAAGAAACAAACATTCCAGTTGAGAAGACTAACATGAAAGCTAACAGCAGAATGGATATTAAACGCTCCCTTTATACTTTTTGCTTGGACACTCGAGAAACGGACCTCTAGTTTGCCCATCTCTACCCCATTGCACGACCGGTGCCCATCATTGTTTCCAACTTAAATTATTTCTATCTCAGGGAGACTGACCAGGAGTAGGCATCTCTCAGAGAAGAGCATAGTGGTGGCATTTCCAGCCCATGTGATGAACGTGTGTTGAAGAAATCCTCAAACGCAAGAGATGGAGAACACAGTGTGGAAGAAACATGTTTGAGAAGACCAACATTATAAACCGGATATTAAATGCTCCCAAGAAACAGAAACTTTTAGGCCATTCATATCCACTAAGTTAATGCACCCAAATTCTGTATGATCCAAGGATCATCACACTGTTAAAATCCTGGAAAGTTGCAGTTATTTTTTTAAAGCACATTTTAATCTGTTAATCTCCTGGGCATCAGCAGCTTTTAAGTATTACTTTTATAATGTCTTTTTCAGAAACACACAAAATAATGCTAAAAAACAATTATGTAAAATATTTAGAACTGCTGTGATGCTTGGATGACAGGCCTTAACTCTTTCACAACCTCTTATGTTGTTCATTGTTGCCCAGTGATTCAAGTGAAAAGCCAAAATAGGTTTTCTTCTTTTAAAACATACTACTTAAAAACAAATGTACATATCTTTGTAAAATAATTGTTTGGTCTTTAGGGTCTCAATCAACACCACTTTTGTAGTTAGTTTAAAATACTGTTAATGCGTCATTTATGGCTATCAGTATTTTTTAAGCAATATTTTTTCACTCTCAAATTTAAAACTCAATTGCATATGAAATCTAGGGAGCACTTCAAGAAAAAGGACGTGTTTGCTTATGAATTCACAACGATAAAGCCTTGTCGACTCTAAATCACATCACAGTTTTCCTGAAGTTTGATGCAAAATGGATTCAAGCAGAAATGATCGTACATAAAAAATGACTGAACCATGATGATCTACTGAAAACAGAGGAGAACTTTAAGATGATCCAGTGATCCATTTTCATATAAGGTCAGTCTCCATTTTAATTCTTCACTGTTTGTTTCATTTGCTTTCAGTGCTTTTTTTAATTTATGAGTTTGACATTTTGTTTGTTATACTCAATAATAACCACAATTACAGTACATTAGCCTATACATTTATACATTTGTGTTCATGATTGCTCATTTAAACCTTATAGACACAAAAAAAAAAGTTTATTTACCGTGTAAAAACTGTTAACCCACATTTGCATCATATCTAAATTAACTGTAGGAATTATTTAATTATTCAAGTCAGAAAGAACCTAAACTCTAAAAACGAAAGTTTAAAAGTATTCACATGCATGTTCTCTGTCTTTGTTGGATATGAATTGCATTATCTAAAATTCATAGAATTAGTGTGTATTCATATTTATGTTGAGCTGTCAGATGACATATAGCGGAGAAAATAACAGCCACTGAATTTGTGAGTTAATTTCCATTATTAACACTGTATGCGCCTGTATGCAAGTGCTAGAAAGGGAATGAGTTGGTATTAGGTGCCAGGAACCAGAAAATAGGTGTGTGTTTGAAGCAGGGGTGATCACAGACAAGGTTGTGCTATGAGGAGTGACATATCCTGTTTCACAGAGGATTAGATATGCCCGTTATAGGTTATATCACATAACCTTCGAGAAAGTGTGTGAGTGTGTGTACTGCATACTTGTTTTGGTTGCTTAGATACATAAGACAGCTGCAACTACAGTGGGTAGTGTAGGTCAGGACTGACAAGAATAAACACTTTGATAGCAATAAAACATCGTAAGCACATCAAAATGGCATGTTGTTAGATATGTGACTGCAAGATGTTCATCTGTGAGGTTACAAACACTCTCACTGAACTGAGCTCTTCATGCAATACTGTTTTCATTAATTACACAGTAAAATGTGAAAGTTGTTGCAGCAGAGCTCGCGTTTAGACCCCTTGGCTTTTCACCCATATCTACAGTAGCTTTAAAGTCATTTACTCCCTCTATCAAATTCCTGTTTCAATAGAAAAATTTCACAGGAAAAAAAAAAAACTGCAGCGTGATTTCCTGTTACTCTTAATCATAATTTTTTGATGTAGTCAAGTTGATTTAGTCATATTAAATATTTTTGACGTAATAATAGAAAATTGATTTTCATTTAGATGTTCCCTGACATATCACATTTACGTTATTTTACAAAACATATTTTGGAGTGTAATTTTTATTGCACAGTCTCTTAGCCAAATTTCAACAGATAACACACAAGTTGCGGATCAGTGCAGATGCAGATCAATCACTTCACAATCAAGTGATTTCCTGAATATTCCAGATATCATGAGGAATTAGAACACTTATATTGGTCTATAGATGACCCAAAATCTGCCTTCTAGAGATTTTAGAAAACAAACCACATTAGGTCCTCAATCGCTTGTGAGTTTTGAGTTTGCTTGTCCGAATGTCGGGATGTAGATGAGTGTTAGAAGAGAAAAGCAATCACCCTTAAGCTCTTGAAAGTGCGTCGTGATGGCAAACATGTCACGACTGTCTGTTTTTGATGTGTGCTAGCTAATCATGTTATGATTGGTCAGTCTAAGAGGACAGTCTAAGCTCGTCACATCTTCGGCATCCTTAGACCCTCCTCTTCAATCAAATATAACATTATTAGCATTGATGGTTAGGCTGCAAATGGGGACAAATGTGACCAGGGCCCGTATTCACAAAACATCATAACCCGAGTAGCTCATAACGCACCGATTTAGGAGAAAATATAAAAAATAATTTTTTAGGACTCCTACATTTTTGCTCTAAGAGTATTTCACAAAGGGTTTTAGCTCTAAAACTAGCTCCTAAATCTGTGAAACGTTAGGAGTAGTGAAGAGGAGTCCTGAGTCACTAAGATCAAGCCACAACAATCCTAAAATGGCTGTTGCAAGCAATCTGTCTCGGAACGTAAACATTTTAGAAACATTTGATGATAATAATGAGCTTTTAAAAAGGTAACGCCTTTGGTTTTGGAGGTGATCCCTACTCCAGATTTTCCTTTGATTATATCCTTGATTTCATTAACCAGTTGGGCAAGAAATAACAGCTCTTCTTGCATCCAGTTTGGTTTTCTTTTACGTTTGCATGTCTTACTATCAGCCATGATTATTCTACTCTGTTAATTAAAAGGCTGTTTGTATGCATATTCACTAATTGTTTACAAGAAGCATACATGTAAGAGACTTTAATTAGTGACACTTAGCCTGCATTTTAAAATCTTGATTTGAATGTGGCAATTAACATTTTTATTTTTAAATCTTTATTTGAATATGGCAACATAATATTATAATATTTCTATGAATAAATCTCTGACAGAGACTATCAGCCAATCACTGTGTGCATAGTTACTAAGCATGCTGACATCATCCATAGCAACGAGATCAACCCTGCCCTTACTCTTAGCTTAAGACTTCTCTCTATTCCTTAGTAAAAGTTTGTCTGAGCAGCTTTGTGAATAAAACTATTAGCTTAAAACTTTTACTGTTATTTAGGAGAACTCTTAGTGGTAAGATAAAATGTTTTGTGAATACGGGCCCAGGACCAGTACAAAGCAAGATTCACTGCTACACTACAAAAACAGCACAAACCTTTGCCATTATAGAGAGATAAGTAACATATTGTATTCTGGCATAACCTTTTTTTATTTTATTTTTTTACAGTTGATTTACAAAAAAGTTTGAATGTAATGGATTGCAGAGTGCTCAGGCATTTGCAGGTCGCAATCAATAAACAGCTAATTAAACAGACATACTATAGTCAAATAGTTATCCATAACATAATAGAGTGCTGCAGTGGCTGTTTTTTTAAACTTGTTTTTACAAGGTTTGAGCTATAAAATAAAGTTTAATAATTAAATTAAGTACACTGATAAAAATGGATAGAGCCAATAAGTGAGCAGTGTGAATTGCTTATTTTTTTATGATTTTTTACTACACAGAATCTAAATGTCTGTGCAGTTCATTACATTTCATAGCATCACTGTAGGATTATAGTGAGAATATTAGTAGAGCATTTAACGGAAGTGTTTATTTACATAGATTAATGTTTACTAAATTAATAGATTTTTATACTTTCTAAGGCAAGCATGGGTGGTGTTTGCATGTGCAGTACTCTCTAAAATGATGTTAGGGTATTACGAATAGTTTTGAGAGAGTTGTCAAAACGTTGTTATGGTGTTCTTAATGTTTTAGCATGTTGTTATGCAATTGCTACAATGTTCTAGGCATGAGTGGTTTAGCTTGAAAGTTTTAAGCCACTTCATTTACTCGTGTATAACTCTGTTTTCATCTGAAGGTAATGTCTCAATGTTGAAATGCCTCAAGGATAGAATATTGTCACCCTGGCTCAGTTTTCTGGTGTGATATCAGCATAAATGTCGTCCTGGTCATTTTGCCAAACATCTCTGTGTTGATGAATTAGTATGTCTGTCTGTCTCCCTCTCTCTCTCTCTCTCTCATAGTCTGTTCAGTCAAATACAGCAGATAAAGTGTGATTTCAGCACCACAGACAGCTCCATAAATTGTAGCACAGCTTGTAAAAGTACACAATTCATTTAATAGGAAACTTTTAACATTTAAAAGGATCATTTTGAATGGTGGACAGCCATCATATGACAGATGAAAATGGCATTAGACAGGCTTTATCTAAGTCTTAACCTCCTGCCATTTTAATTTGAATCAGTAGCTCAACTGATTTGTCCAGGTGAAATACTCTTTATGACCCACAGTACTGTGTGTAACAGTAGAGTATCCTGTAGTTTTGTACAGCTCAATTGACTGCAATTATGGAATAATGTTGATTTAACTGAAAATAGATCATTTTAGGGCCAGTTTTACTAACAGCTTGCACCAGCGCAAACCGTCTTTTGGCGTTAAAATTGTACTGTCGGGTTTTACTAAAGACGCTCAGTGACGAATCAGCACTGAAAAGGCGTGGACACAGTTATTTTTGCGCCTGACCTTATTGAATATGTATTTGTAGGAGTTTCCCTTTCAGACGCAAAATTTATGGGAGGAGAGTATTCAAATGAATCACGCAACGCGTTTTACTAACGTTTGCGCTCGACAAATTACTGGCATTTGCGCCATTATTTAACACCCAAAGCATGTCTTAAATTATTTTGCGTTTGAAATGGCTGCAATT